GGTTTTCAGGCAACGCTTCTGTGTTGTTTTCCATGTTGACGCTAATTAACCGTTTTTTTGTCATCAGGTTTCAACCCAGCTGATGATATGACGAAACTGAAGAATTTGAAGGTTTACCTTCTAATGCATCCTCACCGCTGGCAGCAAAACAACCCACAGCATGATGCCACTGCCACCATACTTGAAAGTTAGCACATTAGATCTGAGCCTCATCTTGACTCTTTCAGAAATGTGTTTCATTACTGTTGACAAACAGCCGTCTTTGTCCATTTGATCTGTATCAGAGGACTTAATAGTGAAGTTCACATTGTGATCTGGGATGGCTAACAAATAATTTCAGTGAATTAAAAAAATCCCAAACAATCTATCCTGGCTCTCATAGAGCTCCGCTTTTAAACAGTGGCACGTAGCGGATACATAGTTTTGTAATGCAGATCAAGATCGCATCTGAACCAAACCCCACATGGGCTGTTTGCCTGAGCGTAAGGCGGCCCTGTCTGGGGAAGCTAAATGGATTTGACAATGGGATTTGATGGTCTTTGTAGTGAGGGTAATTAGGTTTGATTGACTGTAAAGTGACTGGTGGGGTCCAGATCTGGGAGGGGAAATGATCAGACACTTGAACCACCCACAAATTAATGAGATTCAACTGTGCCTGCGCTTATTGCGCTGAGGAAGAAAAGAGCAGTCGACAGAGTGATGAGAGAGAGGAAGGGATGAGGAAGCATGAGAGTGTGGTGTGAAATTAAGAGATCTATGGAGGAAGAGACAAAATAAAGGGAGCAGAGACATCTGAAACCTGTCTCACTACCTGAACTTAGATGGGTGAAACTTTAAGATGCTAAGTATTATGGTTTTAATGCAAGACATTCTTGAAGAAAAGGTTGCTTCACACGTCGACAGTAGTTTGCTGAGAATAATACATGTCTGGACAGCAGTGGATGACTTTTTTTTTTTTAACTCTGCCAATTTTTGTTTTAGAGAGCACACAGAATATTTACTCCGTTTGTGGAACTTGTTTTTGAATAAATCTAATTTTCTACATGTCTCAGTTCACGCTGCCTGGTCTTGTGGGACTAAGCTGAGATGCAGCCGCCTAGAAGCTCTGTGCCGTCATTGCCTTCGGGCAGATACCGATTCTTTCTGGAGATGGAGCACAATCTAATATGCTGTTATTTATTACGACGAGTGCATGACGGCAGATAATCCTGGCGCCCTTGTTCCCGTCTTTTAAGGTAATTATGGAGTTCAACAATCCATACGAAGCAGTTGCAAAGAATAGCTTGTACTGCTTGCACTCCAAATTGAGGGCAAAGAAAAAGTGGCTTGCTAAAAGTTTGGTGCCACACTGAAGTGACATCAATATGCAGATGAAGTAAAAGATGCTTGTTCTTGTGTGCAACGTGTGTAATAAACTACTGTACCTTGTAAAATTATTCATACACATTGAACTTTGAGTTTTAATGTAACAGGCCGACACAAAATTGAGCATAATTGAAATGATTATGCGCAACTCATTTGATAAAAAATGATTAATGCCCCTTTTACTACTTCACCTCTAAATAAAACAATACAACCAACTGCCTTAAAAGTCACTTTATTGGTAAATATAGTTAGTACTTGTACTAAGAAATCCTTGCCTCAAGTCTTTTTATTCGATTATTTTTATAATATCTTCTCAGTTCCCACTGATGGAAAGTTTTCCCACATGATCATAATAACATCACCACTTTTAACCACAGGAATTATTTATTCAGTGGGTTAAGTTTTTGACCACTTAGGCCAAAAAGTTCAATTTTGATCTCATCTGGTGAAACATTTTCACGTTTCACTTGATGCAGACTTGACTTGTATTTGATACTGCAGTCATTTTGAATTTTATCCAAATTTTGCATCACTCATCTGAGACATGTATCATAATAAGCCAAACAGTAAGTCTAGATGTAAATCAGAAATCTGATTGAGGTTGCATTTAATTATCAAAAAAAATCAACTTTCAGCAAAAAATTCAGAATTAACCATCACCTGCTGTTTGAATAGAGCCTAATTAAGTGATTTTAGGAGGCAACTGTTGCACTGGATTTTTTGTTTGTTTATTGTTTATTTGAATGGGGACAAAAAATTTAGTACGCACAATACTAAACTAATACTTAGCTAATTTGCAATGCATATTCCCAGATGGACTTTTAACCACAGAGATATGAGTAAAGAAGGATTGTAGAATAACACAATGTTAAACCAAATAAAAAAAATAAAAAAAAAATTAAGAGGTTTGTTTACTTTTCCAAGACAGTGCATATAATGAATGCATGGAAGATCGCAATTCCTGGAAGCAGAAATTACACATGGGGGAATAAACATGCAGCAAATAGAGGAGCACTGAAACATACATCACAGTTACATTGTTGAAAGGTCTGCCCTTGTTTTTTACGTTCCATCTCAAACACGAAGGTCGGCTTCGGCTACAATATCCGCTTTCAAGCTAAGCTGAGGCAAAGCGAGAAGCTCAACATTTTTTTATCTGCTTGTGTCTCTGACCTTCACGTCTCTAAAGCTATCTACCCCGGTAATATTATTTGCAACGTCTGCCGAGCTGTGGGGACACTATGCAAACTTGGAGAGGCAACCTGTCCACCCTGCCGTGGCATGTCAGCTCTCGTCTATGATCACCTGGCTGGCATGGCTGCAACGCAGGTATGTGCTGGCCTACTGGCAGCTGTCAGTGTCACACAGAGCCATCAATCTGCAGCTCCAGCACTGTCAGGCCTGACAGGGCTCTGCCAGCCACAAGCAGTCAGCCGGCTGCACATAAATATGTCACTTTAGGTTAGCATGCCACAATAATGGAAACATAAATTAAAAAAAATGTTTTCTGTGTTTAAAAATACACAAGAAGGGGAAGAAAAAGAAGCTGCAGCCAACTTTGAGAGAAAACGCGCAGATGTGGACGGGCTATCAGGTACATAGGCAAAACGTGAACTGAATGTCAACAGGTAGCAGTTTCTGAACATCTGAAAGGTTTTTTTTTTTTTGTTTTTCTATGAGGTCTGAAAAATTATACAATGTTTGGAATTTATTCAGGTTTGGATGCATGTGGGAAAAAAACAGAATATGGAAAATATTCATCCTCAGGACCTTTGAGCACATTTTATATGCATTTTTCAATTTATTTTCAACTCTATCAGTCCATACATCCATCTGTTTATCCAACTTACCATCCATCCATCTGTTTATCCAACTTACCATCCATCCATCTGTTTATCCAACTTGCCATCCATCCATCTGTTTATCCAACTTACCATCCATCCATCCATTCATCCAACTTACCATCCATCCACCCACCAAAAAGTAATCCAAAGCTAATTAAAAGTATTAACTTTTGAAGTAAGAGTGTTTTCCAACATGACTGACATTAAAGAGTCACAAATTCAACTCTTCCCTCTTTGACACCCGGCTTGTGTAGTTGGATGTAAACTTCTACGGAAATAAAAATAAAAAAAACATAGGGAATGCAAACCTTGCAGTCTGCTGTCAAGGCCTAACCTAACTAACCTCACCGACTTATTTTTCCCTCGTATTTATAAAATATACGCCTCTCCCAGAGAAGCCCACTTTTTTTTTATTTGTGTAAACATACACCATTTGATCCACAGCGAGTGAAAGTTTGACAAGAAGGATGCATAAATAGAAGCTGCAGGCCCATCATTGTCAACATGCCAACTGCTCTCTGCAGAGAATCATACAGACACGGAGACCTCATTTTAGCAGGCCTTGCTGAGAGGGAAGAATGCCTAAAAAACTTAGCAGCTCAAAAAAAAAAAAAAAAAAAAAAAAAAAAAAAACCACACCCTGAGTTTTGGAAGAGGAAAGGAGGACACACATTTCTGCGATAAAAATCAACTGTGGCGACACCATCTTGAGCTGAACTCCATGTCCATTATTACCAGCACATTAATTCACTCACCTTTAGGCTTTATGATTTGTAAGTACAAATATAGATTTTAAGTTGTTTTTATCCAGCTCCCAGATGCTGAATGAACAAAGATAACAGTATAAAAGATGATTATATTGTGCGTTCAGTGGCTATGTTGTAACATATGTCTCCTGCCAAAACACATTTATCATAAACTGTATTCTGTTAAAGCAAACCAATGTATGGATTTGCATTTTTCTCGCGTCTTCAAGCTGTTGCAGTGGATTGAGGCAGCTGGGTGGCCATCCATTCAGCAAAAAAAAAATGATGCAATGAAGACAGAATAAAAAAGATAAGTGCATGTTTAGAGCTTTTGCATGTTTAAGGTTTTAGTGAAACAGCTGACTATATACAGGGGGTCAAAAAAAGTCAGCTGTGTAATGTCTTCCTTCCGAAAGTCTTTTTGTTTTTTCTTTTACACTTTGTCACATGACCACCGCAGAAATCCATGTATTTTATAGGAACATAACACAAGAAATGACTCGTAGTAAATATTTATCAAAAATGAAAGTTGTCTTTTTCAGTACATCATCTGATATTTGAGGCTCGGTTACAGACCTCTGGTTTAGATCAAAGCATATTTATGAATAAGAAAGGCCCAATCAAAGTCCAGCTCTGTTTGTAATTGGAAACTGGAAACAAGACTTAGAAACTGGTGTTCACAGACACACTCCATGGCTCAGCTTTAGCTATTTCACAACTGAGCTACAAGCCGACTAGCTGTTCAAAACTGTTAGAGGCAGCAAAACATTAATCTACAGAATATAATTTGTAAAGAAATGCAAAGCAATGCTTACATTTTTTATCTCTAATAATAAACTATGTACCATTTTTTTCAATTTTTCATTTGTCTAATACACAAAATAACAATAAAATCTGCATTTTTTTTTGACTACGTTTCTCAGAAAAAGGTCTTCCTGGTACCTGGCTGAAACATAACGGTCTACTGGCATCTACTTATTTGCTGTGGGGTTTTTTTTGTTTTTTTTTTTTGTTCATATGTGCTTCATGCCAGACCACATCGTGCTCAAAAAGCGAACAGGCTTTCCGGGTCTTTTGAGAGCTTAGTGAATTTGACTGGGAATACGCAGATGGCATGCGGGTTCAGACACTCGCCCCAGACGGGGGGGCTGACCCCGGCGATGCCAGCGACCAGAGGGGCCCTGCTTCTCCTCACTCTGATGCCTTTAGCGAAGGAAAGTTCAAGTCCTCCACCACGCTGCAGCTCTGTGCAGAGCCCAGCTTTCTGCTGCTGACATTGTTTCATTTCCTTGCAGTAAAAATATCCTGCTCTTAGCCTGTAATAGACACAGGCATTAGCTTGAGTTCATATTCTGCAGAGCTCAACAGTCACTTGCACTGATCTAAAGTGGTTCTGTAAATGTTGAACAGCTGGTCAGTTCAAGAGAATCCACTTAGAGCAAATTAAAACAAATTGAGTGACTGGGTAATGATTTTATAAGATATTTCATACATTAAGATTTCAAATACTTAACTGAGAGGAGTGTTTAGTGATACACTTCTCTTATCTGTCTGTCACTTTGTTGGAAAAGTGATACAGAGAGAGAGGGCATCATTTCAAGGGTTTTTTTTTTATATTACCACTTTCCTAAAAGCGTTTATCTGCTCTCCCTCTCCTCTTTCCTCCATCCTGGTGCCATCATGGCAAAAAGCTAAATGAATTAAACTCTCATTAAAAATGCATTTCATTGTTAATCATTTGCGAGCAAAGAGGATTAGGTTGCAATTTGTGAAATGACATAAAATCTATCCCTTCTCAAAAATAGACTCTTGAAATTGCGTTAAACAAAATACTATTATCCATCAAGCAGTCCTTTAAGCCACAAAATGAGCAAACCAGTAAATCCCTAAAATAGATAAGACACTGACCTGTGCTTAATTCTCATAACACAATAGGCATATGTTTACCCCATCTGCTCAGCTTATGCATCCAAATACACAGAAAACATAGCTGGCTCTACTCAATTTCTATCAGTCTGATCTCTAAGAGCAGGTGTCTAAACTATCTATTTCAGGATTTCATTTAGCCTTTTAACCCCCAGAATTTAAAATTAATGTCAAAAATGCTCAGCCATCATTAATTAATGGCGAGAGGAATTACACGAGTCTCTTTGTGTTGCCCACTTCTGTGTTTTCCCAAGCCATCGCAGAAAACAAGAGTGATGCTCCGCATGAAATATTGATAGGAAAATCACCTCAAATAACCAACTCTTCGAATATGTGAAGCACATGTAGAATTTTAGAGCAGGCAGGGAGACAAGAGCCGAGAGTCTCAAGCCAAGGTTGTCAAACAGGGAGGAGAGGAGGCGCAGAGAAGAAAGATGCGCAACAAGAAAACACTGAATTTCCTGCTGTATATTTTCCAACCAAACAGCTTAAAAGGAAACCGAGACGCGGGGCGCGAGCGCAAACCACCGAGCTGCTTTAACCTCCACCCTTCTTCTGGCTGGAGCTTACATCCCCATTCATCAGACGCATTAATGGAGCCCTGCATGCGTTTGTCCTTCCTTAGATTGCTTTCCACAAAGAAAAACAACTGAAGGAGCAGAAAAAAAATGTCAAGGTTAAAAAAAAATAATAATAATGCTGGTAACGACCTTGACAGAGGAAAAGCTGGCAGCGCTGAGCACCTCCTGCTTCAGGAAAGTGGATATTCCATATTTTCAAGTTCACCGTTATTAAGACCGGCCAGGACTCTGTGTCGGTGCACAACGCAATCCCTGAAATGTCTGAGGCTGCAGGCAAGGTAGAATTTAGATTTTTGGCCCGCGCAGGGTCGGGCTGAAATTATTTGCTTGATGATCGGGTCTGTTTGGATTTCTGTGGCTCATTTAGTAAGCCTACAATACATTCAGCACAGAGAAGGCCAAACAAGACTCCACAATATAAAGATATATCTACATCAAGGCATAAATAGCTTAGCTTGTTTAGTAAGATAGAAAAAGTTAATTAAACTGCCACAAGCGCAACGCACAACTAAATGTGTACACGGCCCCGCCCTGATGCACTCCTATCAATCACACGTCCCAGATGATTTGCCCTTTACTCATCCTGTGGTAAAAACAAGATGCAGTATCCAAAAACTTACACTGATAATAATTCATCGTATATCTCAACCCAGAATTAGTCCAAAGATGCAGTTCCTTCACAACCAGGTCGCTGCACCTCATTTCATTTTTTTATATCTTCCCCCCCTCACAGATATTTTGGTATTTCAGTTTCAAGGCAAAGTATATGTGATAAATTAACATTGGAAAAAGCTCATTTTTCCTCCTTGTTGCGTTGTTATTGCATCTCATAAACCCGGCCTCATAAATCTGGTCTTTCTACAGGGGTGTGTACACCTAGGAGAGCCACTGTTTACATCTTCCAAACAAAAAGGAAACCGAGGGCGTGAGGACAAACAAATAAGCTGAACACACTCCCACCCGTTTCTGGTTGGAGCTTAAATTCCCACTCCTTTTGTTAGATTGCTTTCCGCATAGAAACAAGTAAAAATACATGAAATTATTCTAGGTTTAATGAAAAAAACATGCAGGTAAGGAACCTTGACAGCAGAAAAGCTTTTCATGCCAAGTGCATCTTGGATTAAGAAAGCGAGTTTTCCATAATTTTCCAAGGTCACCGTCATCGAGACAGTCCAGTAATCTAGGTGTCGGTGCGCAGCACAATCCCCCACTATCTCGGAGGCTGCAGGCAACGCTGCCCATGTCATCCTCATGTTTTATTCATTCTGAATGTCATATTATGGCATTCAGAAACCAAGATCAAAATCTGCTCTGGCAGAAATATTTAATATCGCACCACTTCTCCATCCTTCTCCATCTGGTTTGCCAGACACAGAGGGAGAGGGGGTAGACAGCCTCCTTCAGCTCAGCCATGTTGGATTATTGAAAGTAGAGCTTTCAGAGAGGTCTCTTCTCGGAGAAAAAAAAAAAAAAAAGAAAAGAGCGAGAGAAGAACTGTTGCATGCATCAATTATCTTGGAGAGTCTGTGGCGTGCTGGAGACTGTCTTGTCATATTTCCCAATGAGGCTGGGCGATGGAGAGGTCCTTGGCTAGTTCTGACATTTAGAAACTGGTGTGGAAATCCCAGTCTGTTAGTCAAAAAATATGAATAAATAATGGACAAAAGAGTGCACTGACTGCCTGTAAGGCCTCCCAGGCTTGAAATTCCTTCAGTGTCATTGTCATAACTAGACGCCAGCATCAGCCCCTGTCACTGTGTTCTTTCCTCCACGTGCAAAACAATGGCAGCTCACACTGATCAATACACGACTGGCTGCCGTTGCTGCAGGACAGAGGAGTCATTACAGCGGTTCTGGAAACTGTTATACAATTGTTTTTCCTTGCATTGCTTCCATGTAATGAATGCTAAACTACCAGAGCCATAATGATCATGTTGAGATTGCCATCTACACAGCAATCTCCGGTTTAGTCGATAAAACGGGCCTTAATTTCCTATCTTTACATGGAGCCTGTATTTTCCAGCATGTGTCTCTGTAAGCAAACAAAATATTTGAGTTTATTTGTGACTACTTTCCAATAACTGGAAGCATGACTGAATAAAATGTGTTCAATTTTTAGATGCAGCAGGGGGAGAATGTTTTTTGTCTACAGAATGTGGATAAGTAGAAAATACCAATTCTAGCATAACCTCTCTTTTGTCTGGAAGCACTGACTGAGCTATGGAAGCACTGTAAACATGAGAGTTGAAAATAAACTAAAATAAAGGACTCCCTCCCCCTGCTTCTCTGCATTAGCATCAGCGGCTGAGTTCAAATCCGTGTGCAGCAAATTTCCATGAAACCCTCTCTCCACCCTTGCGCTTCTTGTCCCCTGAACTCCCCGTCTCCGTCTCGGCAGCGGCATGGGGAGAAGCAGCGTACCTTTGTTCATGTCAATCAGCTGCTTCTTCTTCTGCTGACGCTCCTGCTTCTCTCGCTCAGCTTTCTCCTTCGCCAGCTTGGCTCTCTTGATCTTCTCCTCCATCTCCCTCTTCTTGTGGTTCTCCTTCACGGCTTCCTGATGAGGCGCACACACACACACACACACACACACACACAAACAGATAAAATCAGAATGTTGCTCTGCCACCTTCACTCTTTTATCATCTTCTACACTGTATAGTGTACAAGAGCAGCAGAATACCATCAGCAAAGTCTTATTCAGCAACTGGCTTGATAGAGATAAGCGTCTGGAATAAACAATGCATCTGTTGCTGTGTATAGGCCTGTTTTTATTATAAGCCCATCTATCAGTGGGGTTTCTGTACATGATTTCAGTCCCACAGTTGATTTAATGCCAAACCTACATGAATGAGGACATTCACACATAATCAGTGCTTTCAAAAAGTGTTCATAGCCTTTGACTTTTGCACATTTTATCACATAACAAAAACTCCAAAGTATTTCATAGATATCTTATGTGATATTAAAAATAAATAAATTAAAAAAAAAATTCAATATTTCCATGTCAAGTTTTCATGAAAGAATGTTGCTCGTCTTGTCTGCTATTTTAGCAGAATAGCTTGGTTATTTAATATATTTACCAGCAAAAGTTCTACAGCTTTTCTTTTAAGAGTTGTAAAAAGTGTCACTATACAGACACAGAGCATCAAAAACCTTGGTACTCACAATAATTAACTAACATTTAAGCATAGTGCATAAAGTGGCCCAGAAGACCCCCGCCTGTTGACAGCAGATTCTTCTGCCGAATGTGGATAATTCACCTATTCAAGGAATTTTTTGTAAAGAATATCTAACATGTTATAAAGAAAATGCAGCTTCGGAAGCTAAAACACCAGGCGCCATGCTACTCGCCGTGCTATTGGCACCATTCTCATTTTTCTCGACGCCAATAGGCTGCACCCCAAAACCAGAGATAAAAACAAAAAAAAAACAGGTATCAACTTGATAATTATGCTCGCTCAGTTGGTCAATAACATAAAATCCAATTAAAATACATTGAATTTTGTGGCTCTAATGAGACAAAACGTGAAAAGGTTCAAATTGAACGCTTTTGAAAATCTCTGCACGACATAATGCAGGCATAATTCTTCAGACAACACTGGAAAGACATTTAATTGAGAAAGCAACATGTGGCAGTCGTGCAGCGAGCCCAGCATTCAGAAAGCATCCGTCTCCTCCGCGGTCACCAGCTGAAATGCCAGAAAGGAACCCGGGATAGAGAGATAATAAACCGTATGTCTTCAGCACTGTACAAATCTGTCAGTTTGTTCTGCTGCAAGGAGAGAATAAGATGCAACTGTGTGACCTTTGGAGACAACAAAATGCTGTTGCATGCTACGCCTGTGGTGCAGCAGAGGTTCCACGTGTGGGAGGTCATACTTCATGTTTGTAAATCCATACGATTATGTGCGCCAAGGTTGGAGTCCATTTACATCTTTATGCTTCAGCTCATCTGTGGTGTTCCCTCTCCTGTATGCATCCATGTGGGCAGCTTTAAGCGAAGGCATAACCCTCTCTGAGCGGTGATATAATATGTGGCGACAGCAGGCCCCCCATCCACCGCCCCTGTGGTCCTGATGAGTGCGCCGTGTTGGCAGCTAAGACAGAGGGATTATGGGGATTGCGGGAAAGGAACAAGGAAAGAGCGGCTCATCATGCCAGTCAATAGCAGGGCTTTTCTACATGTCCAAGGACACGGGCCCTCGTTGTCACCGCCTCCTTGACGGATGACAAGGGCAGCGATGGCGGCAGAGACAGAGAGAGAAGAGCGAGGTTGAGTAATTGTGATAAAAAAAAAATATATATATATATCAAGTTTAAATCGTGGAAATAAACAAAATGATAGTGAAGAAAGAGAAAGTATTAACATTGTGTGTGTGTTGTGAAATTGTGATTACTTGTCTCAAACTACTGCAAGTCAGCGACGTCTCTCATACCAACCTGTATTTAATCACCACATCAAGGCTGTGTAAATTAGACCACTGCCCCCTGCACAGGATATTGATTGCATCCACTCTGCTGCCGCTTTCAACAGGATGAGAGCTGTGCCTTGTATTGGCAACAAAACGTTTACCTCCCATATTTTCTCCAAATGATGAGCAGCTCTGACAGCCAACCACCAGCAGGGTTCAGCTCATTTCCAAATGAACGTTCCTGAAGTGCTTCAGGATAAAATCGGGGTAGAAATTATGTAGATTGCGTACATAAGTCCTGTCGGCGAAACTTATTCTAAACAAACAATTAATTCTGACTGTAAACATGATTACGATACATAATTTAGTGGCTCTAATCAAACAACACCTCTAATTATCAAAGCCCTGCATCTGTGGTTTATTTTGTGTCCCTTTCCCAGTTCTCTGCGACAGGCTGAAATTTCCTTCGGGCGAAGATCGATTGTATCGCGCTCAGTTTCCCTGACAGCTCCGTTTATTGTGGGAGGACGTCCAAGATTAAAATATTCTAATGAAATGTGACTTGATAAATAAACTGGTTGATTTGACATCTTGCTCAGATATTTCTCAATGGACTCTATTAATGTCCAGTTAGTTCTCTAATGCATTCTGGACTAAACCAAATCATTCGATGTGATTTTAAGAGAAAACATGAAAGGTTTTTCTCTTTGGTATTTGCATTTTGTTGTTTGTCCCTCTAAGAATCTGTTGTGCCAAAGAAAACAGGATGCATGCAGAAAATGGTTCCTCTGGTGAGATCAGGAAAAAATATTGAACTCTGGTTGAGATGCAGAGCTTTGTTGGTGCAAATAAAAAAAAGTTAAGATCAAGAGCTACAATAAGCATGTTAGAACGACCCAGTCAAAGTCCAGATTGAAATTCAATTGAGAATCTGTGGTAGTACTTGACAACTTATGTTCCCAAATCATTATCAACTATTTTGCAAAGAAGATTAGGCAAATATCTTTCTATAGATGTATCGTTTTGGAGTACGTAGAAACATTAGATATTTTCAGACAGTCGGGAAGTCCATTTAGGGTTTGAGGTGGTTTGGGCTTTGGGTCAGGATGTCTCTTTGTTCCCTCCCTTTTTTCCAGCCGTAGTCCATTTTAGCACATGCAGAACTTTCTATGCACACCTTGTGACCTGGAAACCTGGATTTGTGTGAGTGAACGCTACAAAACGTATGACTGCATCCAGCAAAAATGTATTTCCAAGTCCTTCTGGTTATTAGAAAAATGCGTTTATGCCTGCGTCACGATCAAATATTGGCTATGCAAATTTTAACAAATGAGAAATTTAAAATTTTGTAAGAACAAAATGTGTTCCATTTGGCATTCAGCTGTCAGTAATGCTGTCCAAATACTAATATGGCCATGATACCCAGTCTGGCTCTGTTGTCTTTATAATTTCTAAAATGTGTGTATTGTTCCTCCTTGACCTGTGCAACACAACACATCTTCCACAGCATGGTTCCCTTCCCATGCAAATGAGTTTGCCGGTCCAGTGAGGGCGTAATAAGTATTTCCAACTGCTCGGTTGCACCAATGATCTCACACAGAGAGGGTGCCATCGCTATATCTCATTTGAATTTTACAAACACTACAACGCCTGGGCTTTAAGTAGCAAATGTGTTTATTAGCCATCTGCTGCACCGTGTGCCAGGATGTGGGGTGAAATGGCTTCAAGAAGTTATAGGTTACGGACTGAGAGGCTTCTGCTGCTGTATACATGTACTCACATATTGATGGGTGACCTCCAAAGTCGCTGTACAGTAAGTAAATATATTGCATAAACATGATGATGAATCAGCCGAGTCTAAAAGCAGCGATCACGTTTTATATTTTGAAGGAATAAATGAGGATTATATCAAATAAGGTGAAAAATGGCACCTACAAATATTAAAAACCTTCTCAGAAACGTTCTATCCTGTTACTCTATGGACCCACTGAGTGATTTGGTCATATTAGAAAGTCACTCCATTAACAAGGAAAACTGTTGGCTCATCCCAGCCCATCTGCTGTGCTTTGATAACTCATTAATGAAAAAGAAGAACTCCCCATCCTCATGCTCCTGGTCAGGATTACATATAACACTCCCTGCTATTGCATTTCACCCATACTCTATTTCAAAGTATGGCAGTAGCATTAAATTAACAAATTGTTGAACTCCTCAAATCCTGGCTCAAATGATATTTTATTGGGCTCAAAAAAAAAAAAAAAAGAAAAAAACGAGGTGAGGGAGAGACGGAGAATGAAACAGAAGGAAAATAGAGTTAATGGATTCTCTTATCAGTTACATTCAGTTCTGTGAGAACTGTCTGTCAATGCGTTTGCTCAAATGCCTTATGTCGGTCGGGTGCATTAAGCTTCCGCTTTTTAGTAAAAGCAATTTAGGGTGACTGTACTGCAAGGGAATTCTTTAATACAGCAGATGCTTTGTGCTGTGAATGCGCTACAAAGGGCGGCGCGACAGAGAAGGAACTTGGCGAGGATGTTTTGTCCGAGTCAAACAACTTCATATCTCCGCATTTTACAAAGAATAATAAACAAATGTCAGCGGCGCACCAGGCGTTCCAAGAGGCTAAATCCAGCTAGCATGTTCACTGACAACAAGTCATCACGTTTATTTGATTTGCCATTTGTCACAATCAAGAAGGAGTCGACGCGAGTCAAAGATGAATAAAGCATAAGACCTTTTTTTGGAGGAAGAAATGAGTTAGCCTAGTTGTTTCACAGGGTAAGAAAAATAAAAACAACATTCAAATAGGAACAACCATTGATTCCTTGCGCTCTGGAAGCAGATGGGATTAGCCTTTCTGTCAGTAAAGCTGAAGCGCCAAAAACTATAAATAATATCTGAGGAATGTGGTGATTAAAGGATTGTTTTTGTATGAATATATTAACTACACTATATCCCACTTACTTCTATCCCCTTAACCATAGCAGGAAATCGGTAATAAAATATTCATATCCAGCTATTTGCTTGAGAGAATAATTTATTTTCTTGGGTGGATGCCTCTTTTACAGATATGCAACTCTGGAATCCTTCAGGGAGTGCTGCGCTGCGCGCTCGTGCACTTTGATCAGAGAGAATGGGAAGCGGGTTTCACACGAGGATCAGAGTCAGAAAACGAGAGGGATTCAGACAAGGGGACCTTTCCATTTACATTAACGGGCTGCGAGGAGAAAAAGAGAACACCGTCTGGACAGGATGTCATCATCCTGTCACCTGGAGCTTTAGGGGAGGTGCCAGGTGGGAAAGAGAGATGGCAGAGAGGCAAAGACAGGTAAATACATGTTTAGAAGACTGCTGAGAAAAACAGGGGATTTTTACTTTACTTTTCATATGGCTTCTATCATTACTAATTCAATTTGCACCTGGTTGATGCGTCAATGAACTATTAATTTTTCTCCATGTTCAAATGAATGCATCTCAATGAACTTGTTTAAAGCCAATTTTAACAAAATGTCTAATGTTGAGCAAAGGAACATATAAAATGCAATAATGCACCACTGACTGCATTCTGACTGAAAACACCTCCAGTTATAACTTTTAGCAAATGAACAAATATAAACTTAACTTTCATGCGATTTTGGGATAATTATCCGGTTTAAACGGCTGGTTTTGTCCAAGTTTCATTTCAGGAACAACCCAAGAATCACCATAGCTGATTGACCACAAATATCACTGTCCACAGCGAAGAAACTTCAACATCAACTTGAACTGAGAAAGTGCTGAAAGGAGTTAAATAAATATTCTTGTGCCTGTTTTTTTTTTATTATCAGCTCAAAAATAAACTGCATGTGCAAGATTTTATTCAGATGAATGAAACAGACATTTTTAGAAGGAGATTGTAGATCAAAAGCATGTCAAGGGTCTTTTATGAGTGTGTTATTAAAAGACAGGCAAAGCATTTTCTATTTTTTGGGGGTTATTGTGGGATGGCTTTTTAATCGTTTTTAGTCTAAGTTCAGGAACAACAGTGGGATTTGGGTCATTCTGTCTTCTGAAGTACTTGCTGGATGACTCAAAGGGGGCAGCCGAGTTGTTTGATGTTTGTGGCTCAATTTAAATTGAGATTAACACAGAAAGCAGTTTAATAAATGAGGAATATTTTCTGGTGCACCTAACTTTTTGTTATTTTGTCGAAAATCTTGCGGTAAAAGATTTTTTTAAAAAGTATCTACCTGCGTCAGCCAGAGAAAGGCCAGATTTGTTTTGTTGCAGAACTGTTGTCGAGGGCAGCAGAAAATCATTCATAGGGCCGCAAGCGGCCCCAAGACCGCACTCTGGTCAACATCAGAGTCTGTCTGGAATGCTTCACTTCTAGAGTAAATGTGTTCTTAATTCAAATTTTAAGCGAATTTGAAACAATTATAAAGCTTTTTTCCCAGCCATAAAAGCAGTTTTTTTCCCCTTGATATCAGGAAAATCATTAAATTTAACGTTAGCTTAAATGTTTTAATATAACAAATCTGTGCTAGAGCCAACAGCAGCAAACGCTTCTCCAATCGGTTAGCTTTGCGTACATCTCTGAGTCCATTGTGAACATTAATAAAATCTTAAACAAATTCAAAGTCTTTAGAATTTTTGCTATTTTAAAAGATCAGCACATAAAATAATCTTTGAAATGTTCGGGACATTACAACACTTCTGTGAGAGAAGAGAGAAGAATAGATTAATGAAAAATGACCCAATTTGACTGAATCAAAAGTAAATAAAATGCAAAAGAAAAAAAACACAAAAAGACTGAAGTTGCTTTTGTGTCCGCCGGCAGCGGAACATTAGTCGGCTTTTACAAGAAACAGAAAAGTGACACTATTCAAAACCTCAGAGTCTGTTATAGCACTGGAAAACTATCTGCAAACAAAAAGGTATTTGATACAGGAAAAATGGCATATGGAAGGAAATGACAGCAGGTGGGCCTTGTTACATTCTTCCTGAGCACATTCAGAGAACTTACAAGAACCATATTGGAAATATAAAGTCTGAATACAAAGTGTGGCACTGTTTTGGACTGAAAACCTTCCTGTATTTTGAAGTTGGCAAGCTGAAATGATTGTTTCCCAAGTGAAAGAAAAAAACAAACATTGATGACTTCTGGAATTGCAGAGGGACAAAATCACCTTCAACGCTCTATTTCAGACTTAAGTTATGGTCTGTCAAGTATGACAAAAATAACAAAGGAGATGAAATGTTGATGCCTTAAAGTAATCTTAATTTGTAAGAAAAGCTCTTAGTTATTACACCAGGGTCAGGACATTTTGAGAAGGAAGGCTTTACTACAAACGAGAGGTGAACACTACTGACAAAAAAAAGTGAAATCTTCAATCTGTCTTAGCTATGTCATTTGTTTTCAGCATTTCCTTTATAAAAATCATTAAAAAAAGGCCATAATATGTAAACGAATGCTAATTTATTTCAGTAGTTTAGTTCAGAAGAAGATTCCCTACACATGCAGTGACACTTCAAGTTTTTATTTCTGCAGTTCACACCCTTCAGTCTGGGATTTATATATCAGAGTGTGTTTATGAGAGTCACATCCTGAAATGAATTAGAGACAAAAAAAAATTAAGCTCTCCATCCTATTCTAATTTACTGGGATGCTCCTCTAATTGTAATCCCAATTTAACATTCAGTTTCAATGAGAACATTGTAATTTTTCACCATCTGTGGGGTCCTGCTGCAAAGTTTGATGAAAATGTGAGCATGTGCAACCAGCTCTCATTTCACTAACACCCAATGTGTGCAAGCAAGCGAGTGCAAAGGCATGTGCATGTGTGGGTGGTGGCCGCTGTTGGGCGCCGTGTGTCTGCTTTCTAGGAACCGAGTACATGTGCCGTCGTTTTAAACTCACCATGAAGAGGAAGCGGAAGTTGGCCAGCTCTCCGAAGAAATCCTCCACGCTGACTGAGTGGGGGTCGAATGCGAAGTAGCTGCCGATGCTCTCGTACAGCTTCTGCATGTTCTTGTGCATGGTGGACAGCTTCTCGTACTGCTCCCGAGAATGTTTGGAGAAGCCGTGAAAAAAGGGGGAGTCAAGGAAAACGGAAAACGCAACGCCTCAAACACAGACATTAAAATGCTACAGTAACCAGCAATAGCAGGGAAATGTCACACACATGTTGCCGTACAGTATTTTTAAGACCCACCTATGTCAAGGTCAGCAGAAGAAAGAAAAACAAAATGGATAAAGGAGGGTCTTCATCTCACTCTGGAGTCAATGACAAGGAGAGCTAATAGCAGCAGCCCTGAAGTAATGGAAAGGTGCTTTGTAGGCAGCAGCATGACACAGATGGTTGCTGGAAAAGCTGATTGCAGTCATTGTTCTATTGTTTCGCACAACAACAGTGGGGTCAGGTTGTTTTGAACCTCACAGCTCACGTTGCACTGTGTAATTTACTGAACAGGCGGAGGACTTTTCTCCCGGTGAATGAGTATTGACAGCCGGCATCAGTTAAACATTATCACAGCAGCCATTGACCTCATGGAGACTGCACTGGGGCACTACAAGACTCCCACCCTGAGCGGGATGAGAGCGATGCGGTGCAGATTTAGGTGAACACACATGTAGAGGACACAAACGTGGAAAAAAGGAGACCTTGAGCAGGAATTTCATTAATACACTCTGGTCATCTTGAAATTACAGCTTTTTACTCATTTTAGGCCGATAGTTGTTATTGGTGCTGGCGATATTTGTCGTGAAGGATGGATATGAAACTCACACACACGCAAGGACGAAAAAAAAAAAAAAGACAGCATAACTTCATAAACAACCACGTGCATCAAGAGCAAAACTCATCCTGCCTCCACAATCATCAAACCTAAGTGAGGTGAACAGCTAAGAGCACTTATAACCATAGAGTGCACACGTACAGTAGCACAGTGCAGCTCAGCTGGTGGACAGTCTGCAGGCACACGATGCTAGAGACAGCAAAGTGTGATGATAAAATATTTTTATGTCTTTTTTGTTGACACATAGATCAGTACGATATTCAGCTGTTTTTTAAAAACACGACCGATAGACCAGGGGACGAAGTAAGAACGTGGGGAGCAATACGGGATATTTACGGCACCTTTGTTCTCCCACAAAGAAACTCATCTACCAGCCATGTACCGCCACGATGCGCTCCGCCACCCGTTTGTTCACACCGGGATGATATTAAATTTATTGTGCGGTTCTTCCGTAAAGCTACACTTATACTGTAACCATCAACTACTCCGCCGCCCGCCGTGTTCAGGCTATCTGCTCACCTGTATAAATACTCCTGCAGCGCTTCCAACCAGCAGCTCCCGGAGGAGAAAGGCTGCCGTACGCCAGGCATTTTAAGGATGCTTATTGGTCCCCCAAAAACGATGAAAATCCCCACGGGCCGAACTTGAAAATTGGACGTTATGTCTGTGCAACGCAAATAATGTTCCGGCCGGAAGTGTGTGTTACCGTGAGTCAAACAATGACTGGGGCAGCAGCCTACTATATAATATACTCGGGAAACACTTCTTTATTATTACATATTTGTAGAATACGGAACAAATCGCGTCCCGTATTGGATCAGTATGGGACGCTACATTTAACAGCCAATTACGAAACGGTTCCGTATTTTACGGGACGGCTGGCAACCCTCAGTTAGAGGTTATTTCTAAGGCTTCTCTGAAACGATTTAGCTGTGAAAGTTATCCACAGAATAAGAAGACAATATTAGAGTGGTGAACTAACAGGATTAACCAATCAACCAAAATTACTCCAACTCTTCAATATCAGATGAGAATTTGAGAAAAGTGAAGTTTATGAATGAGATGTAATCCATACGATTTTAAAGTGTATTTTTAGTATTACATTTCTGGTGGAGTATTTTTCCTCTCGGTTGTCTCGTTTTTTCCTTAAATCAGAAAAAAAAAAACATGTAATTTATATCAAAGCGATAAGCTTTTGGTTCTGCTTACAATTTCAATCTATTATGTGTGTAACTACTGAATTTAATTTTACTAATTTAAATTGACCTATACATTGGAATACAGATGGAAAATATCTATAAGGCAAAACAAGGTTTCAATTGGGGCAGGTAAAGTGCAATACCTGCAGCGCCACCTGATGACAGGAAGTATAAAATCAGTCTCTGTATTTGTCTATTTGGAGTGTTAGTGTTCATGCCAGAGGAACTGCTGGATGCACATGCAAAATAAAAGACTGCAAAGTAAAGAGCAACAATGAAAATTAAAGATTAATAATATAAAATTCATCTAATTAAATGTGTTTGTCTTTCTTATGTGTTTCCCACTGCAATCCACTCTAAATTGATGCTGTTGCAGTCAACCGATTATTAAAGGCCATCATTTGACAACACTTCACTGCTTGCTTGTGTTACTCCTACGAAGGTCCCAGTTTCTGAGTCTGGGTGCAGTTATAGGCAATTAGTGTTCTTTTACAGTCGCCTTGGCAACATCCATGGTCAGGTGGGACAGCATGTGGCCTGCGATTACCAGGGCCAAACAGTTATCAAGACATTGTTCTTTTTGAACAGTCTGCTATTATTGTGTGGAGGCCACGCAGCTTTCCAACATGTCCTGCTTTGCTAGTTTATAATCAATGCCGTATTTGGAATTTTTCTGTTTCCCCAGCTAAAAACTCACCAATGATGTCATGAGCAAAACATATTACATTGATCCAAAACCACACAATTGCAGAAGTGTTTTTTGGAGTTTTGCGCATGTGGAGGAGGAGGAGGTGTAGATTTGTTGAATTTTTTTTGTAAGGTCACACTGGGACAGTCAGAACATTGGGCAGCGAATGGACTTATTCTTCCGTCTCTCTGTATCCATGTCTGCCTGGACGCGATTTACCCCCATTGCTCCTGTCAGACCTCTGTTATCTCTTCCTTTGTACACCTCCCTCAATCTCCCCTTCTTTTCTAGAGAGCCCCAGCGGATGGATGTGAAAGTAAAACTTTGCCAAAGTAACATATCTTTTCAACATCAAAAGGACTCTTGAGTTTTGCAGAACTGGAGTTGTGATTTTTTTATGGGTAAGTAGAAAAATAACTTTTTAGAATCTAATATGCAGCTAGCGCATCATAGAAATATACAGCCTTTTTAAAAAATAAACTTTGCTAAATTAGGTTAGAATGAAAAAAATAAATACAAATTGTTTAAAATCATATGAAAAAGGGGGTGCAGAAAATGATCATCATAATCATGTCAAGAAATCAAAGGAATAAAAAAAGCACACCACTATAATGTTTCCATTACATGTTTACAATATGTTTATCACTCCTTTAGTTTTTTTGGGGGGGAGAGGGGGAAAAAAGAAAAAAAAAAAAAAAAAAAAAAAAAAAAATCACTTCGAGAACTTACAATTGATCAAACGGACGCTATTGTTTCAAATCACAAGTAATACTCCACTCCACTATGGTGGACCTCAAGGTTCTGCATAAGAGCCCCTGTTGTTTCTGTGTACGGTGTACAACCCCACACTGCTTATGGTAGTAATAATAGATGCAGCCATCTGTGAATTGAAATAACAATTCAAGACTATCATAATCATTTCTGATTTAGTACCACATATGATTATGGCACAAATCAGATTTTTTTTTTGTGTTGTTTTTTTTAATTTTTTGGTGAAAATATTGGAAATGGGTCAGTCAGACTGTCATGAAAAAGTCAGATATCCACATCAGCAAACAAAGAAGAAGAAGAAAAAAAACGGATCTGAGTCACATTTCTGTGCTCCTTGAACATAAAACCTACATCCTGGTTCCAAGTCACAGGGCTCTGCATCGTCACCGAGGTCGTGTGATCAATAGCCTTTAGCATTGCCACATACAAGGCTTCAGGATTTCATGATTGCAATCTTGTATTGTGTGTTTTTTTGTTTTTTTTTCAGGGAATGTGCTATCAAACTTAAATTTTACTTAATTACTTGCGGTGCCCGATGTAGCTTGTGGCTCTCTGGATGTTTTATTTTCCCCGATTTACTCCCCTTCCCATCTCACTCCCTGAAATGCCCACGTATGCACTGTGGTAGATGTGTCCCGCTGGGGACTGGACTGAAGCTGGCTGGGCTTTTGCTCTTCATATTTCCACATCAAAGACATGTCATATTGATGGAGCCTGACACACACTATCCTGCAGCAACACAACCTGCACGCTGGAGCCGCCATCCAGCATGCATACAAAAACAGAATGAGAAGGCAAACATACTCACACACATTTATATATATATATATATATATATATATATATATATACAGAAAATGTACGGTCTTACTGTCATGCTACCATTCTTTAACTGTCCAGCTGTCAATTACACTTTTCTTTCTTTTCACTGTAGGACACTTTGTTTTCTGTTTCTTTTACTTCCCTGTTTTTACACCCTGTCTCAGTCAAAGGAAAAAACTCATTATAATTCTCTTTCTACACCCTCACTTGATATTCTCTCCATTCAATTCTCGCTCTCAGACAACAAATCCCCTCTTTCCTGCTCAGAGTGGACTTTCACAAGTATTCTGTCTGAACCAGGTCTCGTATTCACACCACTTGGGCTTGGAGTGGGCACGCCGGGTCACGAGGTAAGGCATTAGGCAGTCTTTGGTTGCCCCCCAACTCTGTTTGTCAGTCTTCGCTCTTCTCTTCAGGCTGTCCTCACAGGAGGACAGCTTGCCCTGCATTAAACCCTACCAAGACAGAGAAGGACAACAGCCCTGAGGCTGAAGGGGCTCCATGTAGCAAACACTGACGAGGATTTAAAGCTGTGACTCTGCTTTAAAAACATTTCCATTTTCTATTGTATGTAACAGACGGAAAGTAGCACTTAGCTGTGAAATGGAAAATGATGCATGGTTCAGAAATTAAAATGATATAAAGGGTGACAAGCATTTTGCATTCAAACCCCCTTTACTCTGATTCCTCTAAATAAAATCCAGCTCAATAAAATTACCTATAGAAGTCAAAGAGGAGGTGACTCTGGAGGAACTGCAGAGATCCACAGCTCAAGTGACTTTGTTATAGTTTTTGCCAACCACAAAT